GTCGTAGTAGTAGCAGTAGTAGTAGTAGTAGTAGTAGTAGTACAACAACAACAACAACAACTACTACTACTACTACTACTACTACTACTCCTACTACTACTAGTACTACGACGACGACGACGATGACGACGACGACGACGACTACTACTACAATTTGACGACGACACTACGGTACACTCTGATGGGTCCGCTTTGGATGTGAAGTGCCTCTTGGGCAGCTGAAGCCCTGGGTCTGGCAGGTGTGTCTTGCAGTCTAGTGCCACTACATGTGCCCAGTGCACCCCAGTGTTTATGTTGCCTAGGACTGGATTCTGTGCCGAAGCCGCCTCATGAGCCTCAACAGCAGTGGGTTGGTTGTACAATCCTTGCTCCGTTTGTGTCCTACCTCCAACTTTTTCCTCGACGTTGCAGCTGAGGGCGTTAGCCCGAAAGCTGAAGGCACCTATGACGTGCGGGGCTGAACTAGATGATCTTCCTGTGCTGTGCTGCGCTTGAATCGTCTCTTTTGTGACTCAGGTGTCTTTACAGTTCTCACCAACGAAGGGATGGAACCCGTTCCACCAGGTCCATCTGATGTGGGGTTGCTTGAAAGCCCTCAGCCTCTGCATGTGCAGTGTCACGACGAATGATCCATGTTTCGGCAGGAAACGTACGTGGTGGCATTCCGGAAGGAAGGTGTAAACTGGTTGGAGTACCTCGCCTTCATTGGCCACAGGAACAGATGTCGGCTTACAGCGTGCAAATCGTCATCTGTGTGAGCGATGTCCCTGTCCTGATAGTTGAGGCGGCCGTTCAAGCCGGGTGAGAATCTCGAAGACATGAGTGGTCCAGCTGGCACCGCTTGAATCAATTCTGATAGCCCGGGGTATGCAAGATCCTGCATTTGCCTTTCAATCCAGTTGTCATGTCTCTGTCCCTCTCCCTCCGTCTTGTTGTCTCGCTGTCTCTCTCTGTCTCTGGCATTGACGCATTGACGTTGCAGGGGATGCCAAGAAAGGCAACAGATTCAAGCTCGGCACTTTCTTTCCCTTGCTGCGCCATGTTGCAATTCCAGGTTTGTTTTGTCGGGATCCCACCGGTATTGCAGCTCTTGTTTGAACGAGGACAAACAGTAGTATTATAGTAGCTGTACTATGGCAGCCCGTACGACTGTGTGGGCATGTTGCCCGGCAGGATTCCGAGCTTTCCCACTGGGTTGCTACTGCATGAAAGCAACGACGTCTCAACAGTCGTCCGTACCATCTGCGGTAGCTGTCAGTGTGTCGTGGACACTAGAAGCAGTAAAGATCGTGTGCAGCGTAGCTGAAGATTTGTCTGGATCGCGAAGCTTGTGTACCGTAAAGTCTGCCACCTAGGGCTACTGTGGACGGCCTGCACGGAGCCTCAGCACAGCGAGATCCGTGAGCAGCCAGAGCCTGTTCACTTATTAATCTGTCTGAACTTCCGGGAGTCCAAGCCGGTGCGAGACGTCGCCCGAATCGAATCCCAATGTTGGGAGTGTGACCTTGAGCCAAGGCCCATTGGGACTCGGATAACTTTTCGAGTTTGTTGGATTCTGAGACGGACGCTTTCATTTTGTGACGGCAACCGAAGAAGCAGCGACTTCGATTCGGCAGCCTGCAGGTGCTCTTTCCTACTGGGGACGCGGGCCATGGAGCAGAGAGGAGGGGGCCGGGAGAGCTCCTGACAGCTTTTTCTCACAGGCAAACCATTCCTTAAAGCACCATCCTTGCCAGGTATCCGTTAGCACGATGGCTAAGCCATCCAAAGACTTCGGGTGCACAGGCCTCTTTCGGTGTCAATCTCAGTTGACTACGCCAGCTTTTCTGATGCAGGCCCTCTCGGCCCAGCAAGAGAAAAAACAGGTTGGGCTACAAGCAGAAGCTGTGATCATGAAGCAGAGTGAAGCCTGAAACTTTGAGACTGCATTCCAAGATGGCAGATGCCAGGAAGCTTGCGAGTGTAGAGTTGCCGCATGGTGTGCAGAGTACATCATGTGGCCATACTGGTACTTAAATTCCGCTCTTTGCAGGCAGCGACAAGAAACAGTACGTGTGGCTTCAGACGAGGAACGAGGCATACATTTCTGCGCATAAGTGTGCATGACTGCTGAGCCGCAAATAGAAACAGCTTTGCTCGAAGAATCGAGTTTGCTTGCCATAAGCATGCCGCTAGTCTCGGCCGAGTTGAAGCTTGTGTCGCAGCCTCGGCGCTTCGAGGTGCACATCAGAATACCTGTTGGCACAGATGTTCGTGGCAAAGACGTAAAGCGTGGCTTCCCAGAATTCAGAGTCCGAGGGCGGTTTGATAACTCGATCTGACCCCAAGGGGAGACCCTTGACCTCCAACCTTTTCATCAAGGAGTCTAGGACTTTCACTGCGAGGACTGGCACGCGGTGCGGATCCAGCCATAGCGGTAACAACTATGAAGTTCTCGTCCAAGGTTTAAAGCTTTGCCGCTTCGTCTTCAAGTGGACCTCGCCGCCCGCTACTAAGAGCGCCACAACATACGGAACTCCCACGTGCCTGCGGGGGAGTGGTTTGGTCATGTGGGCCTGTACTTTTCCAGTTGTCTGCTCTACCAATCAGATCAATATGAGATAGAACAGGGTAAGATAGCAGGCATCCATCGCTGATCACTCGGAGCTTGCACCGTCTTTTCGGTTCAAGCGGCGCTCGCTCGTCATCCAGGGGCCGTCATAGCCGAGATTGCCGACTAGTCTGAGTCGAGCAGCAGCCCTGACGATCCTGAGAACAATGCAAGGATCGTATACGGGAAAGTGAAATTCGGAAACTTGGTAACAGGGAGGCTGGCAGGGACATGTATCACACATTGTTTACCCGCCAAACGCTGCGTGATGCTACGTGCCAATTTGTACTTGCTCTCATGTGTGTGTGTGTGTGCGTACAGGTGCACGTGCGCATGTGAAGCTACAGCCACTTTAGGGGTTTTGGGAGGTTTGCAGCGCACCCATCGGACTCAACGCAGCTACTACTCTGGATTCTGGCAAAAGGTCGGCGGCGAGACCTTGGAGCTGCTGCACGGCCTGGTCCTCGGCACGGCTGATGGGCGCTTCGGAGCCTTGGTTCTTGCAAGGTCAGCTGGCACACCGCATTAATTCGGATGATGCGACGTGGTACATTGACGAGTCCAAGGAGGAGGGAAGGCATCTTCGTGCCAGAGTGCATTGTGCAGACAGCCGCCTGAAATGTACCCCCCAGGGTGGCAGCTAGGTCTGGTTCGATGCAGGTATATCCAGATAACCATCTTCAAGCTGGAAGCACTGGACAGGACTTCCTGTGCACCGATTTGAGCCGAGGGTAGTTTGCATAGCCGTTACCGCCAGATGGAGCCGGGTCTTTGAGGGCTCCCGCCTCAAGGGTTTCAGTTCAAACGCCATTCTTTGCGACAGTCGTATGATGCTTTTCGAGGTGACGAGCACCCGGAGATCGACGTGCGGCACGTGCAGTGGTTTGTGGATCCTTTGAACCCAGGTGCAGAAGTGTGCGAACATTGCTGCTCCCGGGGGTTTTGGGGACATGCCCCTCCAATACTCAAAGCACCCCAAGTCTCAAACTGGATTCGGGCCCTTTGGGGGGTTTGGCTGGGGATGAGATCCATCAGCCACATATCCAGTCTACATGTCGTCGTCGAGTTTGTTGCTTCCTTCTCGTTGAACTTGCTTTTCGCATTCCGCCTTCGCGCTCTGCAGCAATTACCCCTTTTCTTTTGCTTTCATACATGACTTTCTCCGGTTATTCGATATTTTGCCTTTTGCTTGTAGGCTTATCCGCTGTTTGCTATTATCGTTGTTAGGTTGCTTTCATTTATCGCTTTTCTGCGGTCTGCCTTCGACCGAGTGCACCTCACGCTTGGCGTTTTTGCTTACTTTCCGTTGTTTTCCTTAGCCGTGGCTTCTGCAGCTTTTGGCTTCTTGCATGCCACATTACCACCTTCAGCTCTTGTTTGCTTTGTTGCATTGTGTTTGCAAATGGGAGGGTGCTGGGCCTACCCTCGGCTGTTTTAAATCTTGTTCACCTGAAGAAACGGGTTTCGTCGAAAGGAGGTGCTGCAATACCGTTGGCTCGTGATTGTACTCGTCTGTACTGGTGACCACCAACCACTTGTTCCTACTTGTCTGATTTTGTAGTGCTAGTGATGGTTTGGCCCTGGTAGCTTTTACAACCTTGGCCTTCGCATACTTTTTTCCTTTTGTTTCGACTTCGAGCCCAAGCCTCAAAATCTCCCGCCGAGCAATGCTGAACAGTAGGAGCAAAGCGAAGCGGGGGATCCTTTGGCTTCAGTCTGTACGCCTTGGAGGCACGCTTGGAGATCTAGACGAATGAAGATGGTGAATGCCCGGTGCTCGAACTTGTGCCCTTCCTAGCGACGGCATCTGCACAGAGTGTGTGCGAGTTGCGTGAACGTGGTTTTCCGCAGTACCTATTGCTTTGGAGACCAGGGACGTCCGGCAGGACACCCGGGAGGCCGCTGCCTTTCGTTCGGGCGAAGCAGTTGTCCTTTATTTCCGTGCTAGGCTGACTCGTCGGGGCCGTGCCAGTGATGGAGTGGATGAGTGATTCAAATGGTTCGTGGAAGTACATGGACCGCCATAAACTTGCTCCGAGTGACAAGCAAAATGCAGTGCAGCCACCGTGCTGTCCGGTGCATAGACGGCCTGCCCTTGCAAACGGTAAGCATGCCACGACTATGACAGCACTTCCGAGCTCAGTGCATGAATAGTTTCTCGGTGTTCTCCTTGCCAGGATTTCAGACACATGACATGACCCACTTGAGCAGATCATGTATTGCAGTTGGCCAGGCTCAAGCGCGGCTAGAGCACAGTAGGGACCATGTTGAACACGCGCAAGAAGCTGGTGAAGGACAAGGGCGCTGCGCCCACAGAGCTTGACCAGGAGGTTGCAAAGGCCTTGTTCGACATCGAGGTGTCTCCTTCGTGCGACATCAAGGCTGACCTCAA